TCTAACCTTGAAACAGAGCAGACTAGAGCAGACTTTGAATCTTACTAAACTGCATTACTAACAGATTAAAGTCTAACACATTAATGTCTAATAATTATCTGACTGATTTACTAATATCTAACAACCAGTTCCACGCTTTGCCTAGTTGGTAATCTAGCCTTGCTGAAAAGAAGACCTGGATTTCTCATGGCCATGGCTTGCTGGTGTGAGAACTCTCCGGACCAGCAGGCGGCAGTAATGAAATCTGTACAAACAAACGAATAAGAAGATTCTAGCACAGGAATCAGAAAACCAAGTTAGTTGCAAATTTCTCGGTAGAATTGTGTTCGCGTTAATTGATTTACTAAAAATAAGATACATTTTCCCTAAATATGTCCAAAAGACATCGTCTAGATTTGGGTGATGACTACCCCTCCAGTAAGAAGAGGTCTGACGGGTAGGTTAAGCTCCATGGTTAAAACGTCAGCTTTAACCGGCTAGCTAGGTATGAGATACTAAGTGTTAGCCGATGCTAGTTAATGTGGCTAACAACCATTATGCATGGACCGAAACATGATAAGATTAGCTGCTAACGTTAACGTGTTGGCGCCGGTCTTAGTTAGCCGCTGCTTGTTGACGGCATCTGAATGTTGCTCTGATACAGGCGTGTTAAATGTATTTCGTCTAGTAACTTACTGTTAAGTTCGCATAAGTAGCTGCTGGAAATGGCTCAAGCTAACAAACGAAGCATCACCTCGACCGCCAAGGCACGTGTGTGTGTATGTGAGGCTAACCTCAACTTAGCCAGTTGCTAACAGCCTTAGCTACCTGGCGTAACTGGACTCAAGCTGGCTAGCATTAGGTGCAAAGTTGTAGCCTGTAATTTGGTTTGTTAAACAACAATCTAGCTATACTGTATTCAAAACTTCGTCAGAAGCTACTGAGATTTCAGCAGTCTGATTTGTTCATATCAAGTGACTAGCTATCTTTTAAACGTTAGCTACTGTCCTACTATTATTATAAAATTACTCCCTTGGTTTCCCCGTTGAGCTACACTGGGAGAACAATATCACTAACAAAACAGGAATTGTTATGCTAAAAATCGGTGAATTTGTAAGATACTCACGTGAATTGCATGCAAGAAACATATTGTATTCCCCCAGGAAGGGATTTTTATTAGTATTAGCCACTGATTTAGAGGACTGTTTACAGTAAGATAAACCTGATTCACTGTTCTCGTGAAAACATTGTTTTAAAATATCGTGAGACACGAACATTTTGAATGTATTCATTATTTGATTGCAGAAGCAGATTTTTGGGGGGCATTTTTGCTTGCAAAATTACTTTAACTGTAATCAATTACTATTAATTAGCTACTGATTAATTTTTTTGTCACGTAATCAATCAGTCAACTAATCAGTTCAGCTCTAAATCTATTATCACAAAGGTTATAATGTAAAGTTTTATGTGAAACTGTTTATGGTCATTTTGGAGGTTTTGGTGCTGTTGAATTTTATTGCATTAGGCAGCATAAACTCTAGTAATACCTGTCCTTTGCTGTTTGACAGTTGTATAGGCAGGAAATCACCAAACAGCCTAATTATGATTATTATTATTTTTTTTTACAATGGAAATGTTCATAATGATAAACCACCCTGATGTTGACAGGAGAGACCGGGACCGTGACAGAGACCGTGAGGACCGCTCCAGGGACAGGGACCGAGATAGGGATCGGGACAGGGAGAGAGACCGGGACCGTGACATAAAGCCCTCTATTGGCACGGCAGCCGCGGCAGGCCTACCACCACTCAAGCAAATGGTGGTGCAGCAGCAGATCAATCCATTCACCAACCTACCACACACACCACGTTACTATGAGATCCTGAAGAAGAGGTTACAGCTTCCCGTGTGGGAGTACAAGGAACGCTTCACCGATATCCTCACGCGTAATCAGAGCTTTGTCCTTGTCGGAGAAACTGGCTCTGGGAAGACAACACAGGTCTGAAATGCAATAAATTAAACTGTCTCTTATGCTCTGTACACACAGAGCTCAAGAAGTGCTTGCTGAAAGCTTTTGGATATCATAACATCCAGGATGATGGCACAGTGTTGGTGTATGTTCAAAAAATGTTGAGGGATTTGATCCTGTCCTTAAATAATTTTATCTGAATTTGTTGTAACCTTGGCTTCCCACTCCAGATCCCACAGTGGTGTGTGGACATGGTGAGAAGCTTGCCTGGACCTAAGCGGGCAGTGGCCTGTACTCAGCCTAGGAGAGTGGCAGCCATGAGCGTGGCTCAAAGAGTGGCAGATGAAATGGATGTCATGCTCGGACAGGAAGTTGGTTACTCCATCCGATTTGAGGACTGTAGCTCTGCCAAGACTATACTCAAGTGAGTAATTGGGGTCTGCTAATACGCAACACTGGCTTTCATTGAAGGCAATCGCTCTTACTTGTTTTATTCCAGAATGTTGTAATCTAACGAATCCTGTCCGTTATTTCTTAAGGTACATGACAGACGGTATGCTGCTAAGAGAGGCTATGAATGACCCACTGCTGGAGCGATACGGTGTGATCATTCTCGACGAGGCCCATGAACGAACTTTGGCTACAGACATCCTGATGGGAGTACTCAAGGAGGTGGTGCGTCAAAGACCAGATCTGAAGGTATATCTGTTTATTATGTTTTTTTTTTTGTTTTTTTTTAATGAGAGTGATGCATTATATTCTTAGGGATACGTTATGTATTGCTACAGCCAGGTGCTTCACTAAATATTTTGGTTGATGATAAAATAAATCCACTCTCCACTTGGTTTGAAAATACTGTAGAAAATCCCTCTTTAAGTAGTTTAATTATTGATTTAAGTTACATTGGTTTAGGGTGTTGCTCATAATAAAATTGTAAAATAAATGCTCCGTAACAACAATGAAAGGAATGGGTTTTATTCGATTGGTCATTACTCTCAATAACTTATTGGATGACAAAGTGTATTTACACCTAATAAAAGAGAATCTTCCATACGCTGATTGGCCACAACAGTAAAACCACCTGCATAATGCTGTGTAGGTCCCCCTTGTGCCACCAAAACAGCTCTGACTTGTTGAGCCATGATGACAAGTCCTCTGAAGGTGTCCTGTGGTATCTGAGGCCAAGACATTAGCAGCAGATTCTTTAAGTCACAAGGTGGGGCTTCTGTGGATTGGACTTGTTTTTATTTATTTATTTATTTTTCTTTCAAGCACATCCGCTCCGCAGCTCAATACAGAGCAAACTGCACTGTGTTTTGGGACACCTGTCCATCAGCATTAGGTTTATCAGCAGCTTGTGTGGCTGATCATTGTATTTATGACTCTGTGCACATCAGGTTCCTGATTTAAAATAAATAAAATCTACCGACATGCAGAGCTGCTGATGCTTTAAAGATAGTATCAGAGGTTTTGCATGTGTTGGCCCAAGCCATGACCAGACCAGAAATTTTAATATATTTTTCTTGCTGTTTTTGGCACTCATTGGTTTGCATTAACTTCTATGTGATGTGAAATCCACTAGCATTATCTTGAAACTTGCTTGAGATACATAAACCATCACAGTGAAATTAAGGTCTGCGTGAAGTTCTGTTAAAGTTTATATCATGGTTGTGAGCTATCACAGTTTATGCCGTTTAAATCAGTCTGCTGGGAAACTGTGTCACCATCCAGTGACCACACAACATTGTTGCAGTTTGTTAGGTTTCGAAAGTTTGGTAACAGATGTTCATACCATATACAGATAGGTGACAAATTAAAGAAAACCCTGTGTAAATGAGTGGTCTCTTCCAGGACGACAGTGGCCCCATCCACAGGGCACAAGGTACTGAATGGTTTGATGGGTATGAAAATGATGTGACTCATATGCTGTGGCCTTCACAGTCACCAGATCTCAACCCCTTTGAACACTATGGGGGATTTTGGACCGAATTCTTAGACGGCGTCTCCACCATCATCATCATCATCAGTACACTGCATGAGGGAACATCTTTGGAAGAATGTAGTTCTTCCCTTTAGTAGAGTTCAGAGACTTGTAGAGTCAATGCCAAAGTGCACTGAAGCTGTTCTGGCTGGTGTGTGGTGACCTGGCACCTTACTGAGACACTTTGTTGTGTTTTCCTTTAATTTGTCACCTCTGTAGAAATGGATGGTAAAAGTTTGTAACTGTACATCATGGTCAACAAATATGTATGTGATTTTGTAGTTTAGGGTCAAACACATGATCTTGAGATGCATGATCTTTGTTTTAAAGCGCGTGTGAGTAACATAGGCATATTTATTTATGCAGGTGATTGTCATGAGTGCCACGCTGGATGCAGGAAAGTTCCAGGTGTACTTTGACAACTGTCCTCTGCTGACTATTCCTGGGCGCACACACCCTGTAGAGATCTTCTACACCCCTGAGCCAGAGCGAGACTATCTTGAGGCAGCGATCCGCACTGTTATCCAGATTCATATGTGTGAAGAAGATGAAGGTGACTGCCTTCTCTTCCTCACTGGTCAAGAGGTAAGACTTAATGGTGTTTGCATGGCAGGAAGCCTCATTATCATCATGTCAGCCTGTTTCTTGAAGAGAAACATTAAGTGTAACTTTCTTTCAGGAAATTGATGAGGCCTGCAAACGTATCAAGCGTGAGGTAGATGACCTTGGACCTGAAGTTGGAGATATCAAAATCATTCCACTGTATTCCACGTTGCCCCCACAACAGCAGCAAAGGATCTTTGAACCTCCTCCTCCAAGGAAGCCCAATGGTGCAATAGGAAGAAAGGTACAGTTTGAATAATAAAGAATAGGAAATATAGATTTCAGCTTAATTACAAAATGACTTGTAAAGCAAATGAAACAATGTATTTTATCATCTTTTTACACCTACTGGTCAAATTTTGATAATAAATGTCTGCCTGTTGCTGCTTTTTCTTAGGTTGTGGTGTCAACAAACATTGCTGAGACTTCTCTGACAATTGATGGTGTGGTGTTTGTCATTGATCCCGGATTCGCCAAACAAAAGGTGGCCAAAGAGTGACTCACCTCACTTTAGTGTTTTGTTCTCATTTAATTCTGTCTGTAATTTGCTCTGCTGATTATCATTTAATCTGACATTTTATCCTATATCAAATTTCAAAGTTGGTTTGGATCAATCTGTAAAGGTTGTTGGTATGTTTGTTATGCTGTTTACTAGTGGTCCCTTTTTCTTTTGGTCACAGTCTAAAAACGTACATCATGGGTCAGCTTGTCTTACTTAAACATGCTGTCTGATGTGCTCCTAGGTGTACAATCCTCGTATCAGAGTCGAATCCTTGCTTGTCACAGCTATCAGTAAAGCTTCTGCCCAGCAAAGGGCGGGACGAGCTGGCAGAACGCGTCCAGGAAAATGTTTCCGCCTCTACACAGAGAAGGCATACAAAACAGAGATGCAGGCAAGTTACATAAACTTTGTCTCCTTAACCAAAATTTGACAAGAGCCTAAAAAAACCCTCTCAAACCACTCAAAATCCTGCTTGTTTAATTTCTCATTGGATCTTTTGGCAGAATTATATTTATCAGGTGTATTTAACATCATAATCATTCCTCTTCAGGATAACACATACCCCGAGATTCTTCGATCCAACTTGGGATCTGTTGTGCTACAGCTGAAAAAACTCGGTATCGATGACCTGGTGCACTTTGACTTCATGGATCCACCAGGTGAGTCGGTCTGCATTAAAGAAAGCATTCAAAGCTCTCTTGTCAGGTGAAACCCTCTGACTCTTATTTGTCCCCTCCCTCTCTCCTACCACAGCTCCTGAAACACTGATGAGGGCACTTGAACTGCTGAATTACCTTGCAGCTCTCAATGATGACGGTGACCTGACGGAGCTTGGCTCCATGATGGCAGAATTCCCCCTGGACCCCCAGCTGGCTAAGATGGTCATTGCCAGCTGCGAGTTTAACTGCTCTAATGAGATCCTTTCCATTACTGCCATGCTGTCAGGTAATGCCCAGGACTGGGCTGACGTCTTCCTTGCCATCTGTAGGCCAAGCCTCTCAGGGTTAAAAACGCTGCTACTCGCTGGTGGTATTGGCGAAAAAGTGTCCCAGTTAAAATTTAGCCTGTGTACAGAATTATGGAACACAAGTGAATAAAGAGAGGAAAGTTAACCACGCATTGTTAAAATAGAGAAGCAGATACATACCTCTAACAGGATGTGAAAGAAAACTAATATCTTCTCAAGTGTCATCTGTTTCTGAAAATCTTAGTTTAAATCAGTTAAGCAACAAACAAGTACAGAGTGTACATCTTATCCTCTGAATTGTTGTTGCACCCGGCTGAGAAAGTGCCACTATAAATGTTTTTGTCTTCTTTGAGAATGTAGTTTCAGTTGAACTTTAACCAAATCACAAGTTGCAAAAACCTTCAACATTCTTTGTATTGTTTCCCAAATGTGTGTGGCTGTCTTGCCTTCCTCACATGGTATCAGATGTATGTATAATTATATATATTGGGGCGGTTGGAGAAGAATTGTGTGTGACTTAAATTTAATGAACAAACTGGCTTCTGTCGCAGCAGGACCAGGTTTTAAAGATTTTCATTCTTCCAACAGAAATGTTTTATTGGGATTATATTACACGTCATCCTCAGTTGCTTTGGTAACTCTGGTAACTTAGGTTTAATTAATGATCGTCGTACGTCCAGTATATTTACTGAATACTGAGTGACTTCACGAGTGTTTTCTTCACCAAAGCATGTGGATAGGGCAGGCACCACTTTGTCACATTTATCATTGAAATAATGGATTGTGAACTATAACTGTTATTGTTACTTAGAGTTATCATGTGTAGCCTGGGATTATTTTAATTCTTTGTTACATTTCTGAACCTTGGAAAGTTAAACAGTGCTGGTGTCCCTAACACATTGTAGTTGTGTGAAAACTCTTGTTTTACAGACGTGGTTAAATGACCCCCTCTCTACGAACTAGTAGCCCATACAGTTGGGAATGACCATGACTGCAGCCCCCTTTGATAGAGCTTGTGGTCCTGCCCTGTCCCAGCGCAGTGTCGAGTGCCCTAGCATCATAGGCTTTGCACCATTTTTCTGTGAATGTTTGACTCATCCCAATGGGCGGCTTTGTTGGGGCCCATACCAACCTTGTTTAGTCCCACAGTGTTTTGTCCGGCCCACGGAGGCTAAGAAGGCAGCAGACGAGTCCAAGATGAGGTTTGCCCACATTGACGGAGACCACTTGACGCTGCTCAATGTCTACCATGCCTTCAAACAAAGTGAGCATCCATCTGGGTTTTCCACCATCTTCCTGTTTTTTGTTTCTTATTGTGTTGCAGCACTGACATAGCATGCAGTGGGGTTTATCAGTCTTGTCACTTAATAGCTGCAGCTGGAAGCACTGTTCCAAAATACACTACGCTGCTTCGCAGAGAAGAAAAGCATTGTAAAGTTGTTTGATAATGCTGTCATTAGAAACTTTATATGGTGCTACACACAAAAAATACTGATTAGTGCAGCTTGGAATTTGTTATGGAAATAACAAGGCCGTTTCATACCAGTTTTGAAAGTGTATAAACTGCTCACTTAAATGTTTGAATCCTTGTTATACATTTTTCCAGACCACGAATCTAACCAGTGGTGTTATGACAATTTTGTCAACTACCGTTCTCTGATGTCTGCGGACAACGTGCGGCAGCAGTTGTCCAGGATCATGGACCGCTTCAACCTGCCCCGCCGGAGCACAGAGTTCACTAGCAGAGATTACTACATCAACATCCGCCGGGCGCTCTGCACTGGCTTCTTCATGCAGGTGAACACAGGCACTAGTTCACATATCAGTAATACTGGTAACACTTGAAGTTAAGCCCCCTTGGTTTAGCATTTATAAATAGTATATAAACATTTAATATAACACATATTATAGTTGAGTGGTTGTGAGTGTTGTAACATTTTTATTGATGTACAATATCAACAATTATCACGTGTCCTTTTGTAAAACTTGCATATAGAGTTTCCAGTGCTTAGAGGAAATGGTGCCTAGTCCTTATTGTATTATGTAATGAAACTTTTAAATAACAAACAGGGTAACTCGCATTGCACTATGGATTGGCAGTGGTTTTCAAATATTCAAATAGTTATTAAATGGAAAAAAAAAAAACCCTGGATATTTCATGCATCTATGGTTTTGTCTTTAAAAACAAAGAGCCATTGCTTTCCCATTGTAAAGGTCTGTGTCAAACTTCTTTAAAAAAAAATAAATGAGAGAGAGAGGGGTGCAGTGCAAACTCTGCCTAAAGAGTCTGAGCCACTTTAACACAGTGAAGCATGACTACATACAACTACTAAGAACCTTCATTCCTTTTTGCAGGTGGCTCATTTGGAACGCACAGGTCATTATCTCACAGCTAAAGACAACCAAGTGGTCCAGCTGCACCCATCTACAGTTTTGGACCACAAGCCAGAGTGGGTGCTCTACAACGAATTTGTTCTCACCACCAAGAACTACATCCGCACTTGTACAGATATCAAGCCAGAGTGGTATGTATGCACAGACTTAAATTATTAGTAAAACAGGTTCTGATAAATCAGCATCATAGAATTTGCGTATGCCATCTCTGACAGGAATTTTCACATTCCCATCTGTTTTACAGGCTGGTGAAGATCGCGCCCCAGTACTATGAAATGGGCAACTTCCCACAATGTGAAGCTAAAAGACAGCTGGAGCGAATCATTGCCAAACTAGAGAGCAAGGAGTATTCCCAGTACTGAACAATAGCCAAGAAGTGTCCTGGAAAACAACTGCATACTTTAGTTTTAGATTTTTCTGTATTATTGTATGTTAATGTTTAATGGTTTGACATCTAGATTTTTATATTTTGTTTTCTTTTTTTTTTTCTATCAATGTTTATTCTGTAACCAAATGTAATGCCAGATGAAATATCAGCAGCAAATATTGGACCTGGCTGTGAAAATTTTCAAAAGGAATATCAGAAACGTGTCGGCCTCTAGGTGGTTGACTTTTTCCTATTGAAGAATGCTGAGTCATTAAAAAAAGATTTGTGCTTGCTTTGTTTCTTTAATAAAGGAGCTTTGACTTAATTTCTGTGTACATATCAATTAGTGAAGCCAGTTGTTGCTCAAGTATTGTAGTCCCTGTTGGGTTAAAATTTTTTGTGTTAATATTTGGTAAAGAAAGGTTTTAGGCTGTTGTATACAATGCTCCAGTACCCAGGTTTAAATAGCTACAGTAAACTGTTAAACATATTTCTTTTTCTGTCGAACAACTTAGTACATTGTTGTTGGTTTTTGTTTTATTTTTTTTATCTTAACGGGCATTTTCTTGAAGTTAATTTCCTTTTTTGTATCATCTAATAGGAAGCTCAGCTTATGAGATAATCAAAATATTGAGTGAGCTCTTCAGGAAACAATCAGGCACTTTTCATTAAAATACTTTATTTTACTACAGATCTGCATGTTGTATGTAATTAACAAGTAGAACTTTGACCCCCCATTTCAGTTAAACAATTGATTTGATTTATTTATTCATTCAAGCATGTAAAACAGTTGATATGTCAACACATGTAATTTCACACATATCCAACAATAATAATCCAATATCAATTTACTTAAACAATAAATGCCTTTTACCACTAACTTAGTTTGCAGCTTTAAGGACATTTTTGTGTGTTCATATACAGCCCCTGTTGACAATTCTTTTACCAAATCTGGAAAAAAAAAAAGTTGATGTTGAAAAGTACAACAGAAGTTAAATCATTGTAGGGTTTTGTAGTAAATGTAATCACGAAATGCTACATTGTACAACATTATATACTGTATGTGCTTTTTTTAAAAAGTCAGACTACATCTGTGTGAAAGATGTTGACTGTAGCGATGAACCCACAGAGAATCATCACTCCACAGTTAGCCTCAGCTGTAAGAAGCGCTTCAGATCAGATCATGCCTCTTAGTTTTAAGGCTTGTTTTAATTTTATTGTTACTGCTCCTGTCTCCATTGTTCTCACATGCAGTGAGCAGCAGTTTTCACCATTCCACAGTTAGTGGAAAGTGAATGTTAGATTTTTATTTGCTATGTGATCAGAAACAAATGAATTCTTACTCCATATCTGCTTCATGTGTAAATAGGAAACTGTTAAAGTACTGTGTACTGCTAACAAGCTTGCTATAACACTTTTATAAATTGACACTGTGATTTCTTTTACAGCTTGTCTCTGCAGCCCAGTATTCGTGAGCATGTCCACTGATATTCCCTGGAAGTCCCTGCGACCAATTACTGGACCTCAGAGTCTTTTAGTCGCCTTTTGGTTGCAATGAAGAAAACATTTAAGGCAGAGATGTATCTTCACAAGCGGTGTTCGATCGTCGTCTGAAACAGAAAAGATATTTTTGTTTTATAACATTTAACATTCATTGTGAATGTTTGGATGTGCAGTGAGGATTATGAAATAAGGAAAAGTACCTCGTCTGTTCCACATCTTCAATAGTCTCTGGAAGATGCATGTTTTGTGTCTCAGGAAGAAAAGAAGCTGTCAGGCCTGCAGCAAAAGCAAGCAGGGAGAAAATGGTACTCGGTAGAGGGAGCCACACTTCCTCAAGGAGAGAGATCAGTGGGGATACAGACACTCCGATACGGGCCATGAACGAACTATAACCCAATCCATTTTGTCTGTGTAATAGAAAAATAAAGCACACAGACTACAGAGAAAACAATTTTGTACCAATCAGAGAGGTGTCATGATACAGCTGTAACCCCCTTAAACACTAACTGTTGTACACAGACCCCATTCTGGGGGTTAGTCACTAAGGTTTTTCAAATGTCTCACTAAATTCGCTTCTTGGAAAAAGTTTCTGGATATACACTGGTGTCGGAAAGTCGGAAATGCTTTACTCCATCAATTAACGCCTATAATGCAGTTTTTTTTTTTTTTTTTTTAAATACATTTCCAATTTTTTTTAAAAACATACTTTTACATTGTCATGAGTTATTGAGTGCACATTGATGGGCAGAAATTTAATTTATTCAAAAATAAATCTACAACATGCAAAAATGGAAGGAGACTGAATAGTTGCTGAAGCTACTGAAGATCATGTTTGTAAATGTGCAAATCCAGTATAAGCTCTATATACTTTACTGACCTCATCACTGTGGGGTAGAGCTCTGCTGTATACAGATAAACGATTGTAAAAGCTGCCTCTGCAAACATCTTGCCCAAAGCTCCTACAGCTGTCCGGCACGACCTCATTTCTGAAAAGAAGTTGTCAAAGAGAATTCTACCTTGCAGTATATTTAATGCTACTGCGTGCAGAATTTGAAAATTAATGACTATGGCATCCTCCACTGGCTTCTTTTGCTCATTTACAGATAATTGATAATGCCAATGTATATTATTTTAATTCCAGTTTTTATGCTTTTGTCATGTGTTATTGTTGCAATAGTGAGAGCATTGACACCATAACCTTGCTGTTTCAAAAAGACGCACACCTAAAGTGATCATTTTACCTTGAGGGATAAACATGTTGCAGAAAACACACAGTCCAGTCAGAACAATTGCTGCAGTCTGACTCAACCTTCGACCTATTCTGACCAAGAAGAAAACGACTAATAATTTTGCTGGCATTTCAATGGCGGCGTAGAGGAACTGTGTGAGATAAATGTTCACACCAAATCCAGCGATATTCAAGCTGATCCCGTAATAAGTACAGGCTACTCCAAACCTATGAACAGAAAGAGAGCAACATGTTAAGGTTACACATTTGCTCCAGAGATCACTAGTTTGTTATGGAGGACAGGTCTGTGTAACAGGATGCTTCAAACAGTCAAACATTAAACTGTTCTGAATCTGTGTGCAAGGTAGCGGGGTGTAGCCATAATACTTCTGCAAGTACATTCACTTTGCACGGTGAAATGGAACCAACTATGGGAAGTGATTACATCATATGATTATAGCTTGTGTTGTGATGTATCAGCTCAGCCTCTTATTTTTTATTTCAAAGCACATTGGAGTTTATTAACATAGCTACTTATCACAAGTGCATAGAAAAGCTGTACCAGCTGTCGTTAAGTGGTTGAACAAAACAGTCAAGGTTTAGAGACATCTTGGGTGTTTGAAGGTAAAAGCAAAGCTGCATGTATACAGCACAGTACCACACAACGCCAGTAAGTAGAGCAAGTCTCCTCATCCCTGGTGTCTTCACAAGGTCCACACAAGAATATTTTTTGTTTTCATTTTCAACAAGTATTACTTTGGACAAATTCTGAAGAGTAAATAAGAGACTTTGGTCAGAGAATGGAATGGTGCTGCGTATCAGTACCAGACTAGAAATTAACATGATGTGTCATACCTCAGGCTTTATGTCAACCATGAACTGCTCTCTGCTGTTGACTTTTGCACACTTACTCAAGTAAAAATGAGCACTGTTGACTTTCCCATTGCTTATAAGCCACCTGGCAGACTCAGGGAGCCACCTGTGACAGAATGTTGATTTGATAAAAGACAGCTTTTTAGTGATTTTTTTCATATAAACTCATGAGTCACACATCTGCCTCATCAACGCTGCTCAGAATTATAGCAAGTATCATTATTAAACCATGTGAAATAGTTTTATACTGTATTTTGACACACAACTACACATGGCTTGCCGCTGTTAGGGAATTCTGTAAACATGATTTGGCAGGAAAGTGCTTGTTATGGCTGAAAGTAATTAGTACTTTTTCCTTACCACCAAGAGATCATTGCTAGAAACAGTGGGGTGGTTACAGCAGCAGTCAGGTGCCTCCAGTCGTTCAGAAAATAGGCCACAAGAGGCAGCAGAATAAGAAAAACAGTCCAGTCCAAGCTCAATAAAATGCCCACTACAGTTCGATGCTTGATGTCCACCCATTCAATACCTGAGATGAGCAATGACAATAAATCAAATGTATTAAAATAGGCATGAGCATAAAGTATAATTATGGTAGACTACATTTTAGCAGGTAAAACAAGCCATACCTTTTATTATTAATATTTATTGAGGTGAAAACACAAAATAGATTTTAAACAAAAAGCTTAATGTGGTGTTCAGTATTGTCTTTCGTAGTTGGCAGTATGTTGTGGAAAGAAAATGATTTGTTGGTTAGAATTTTGTTAGCGCAGTCCTCCAAATGCGCTTGTTTTTTCTACTGCACTTTGTTAAACATTAAAAGATTTAACAGCTAGCCAGCAAGTTAAATTGTTATAAATGTACAAGTCAAAAGCAGCAAGCATCTAATGACATTTACTGAACACGTGTAATGTTTCTGTAAGAAACACAGCCTTGTTTTGTTTTGCTGTTGTTTGTCATATTAATGGAGATGGAGCATTTTAGGACAGTCACCTTTTGCTAAAAGTCCACTTGAACATCAGCTAACAGAATTACTAGCTTTGACCATTAATTATTACACTTGAAATGTTTTATTTGTCATCAAAGAGGGAAAACCATAATATGTCTGACCTTTATATTATAAAAATCTTGAATGAATATGACATATTTGTTTTTCCTAGTATTTCATTTGCTTGTTTTATTTCCTATGAATTTGACTTTTAAAATTTACTTAAAGAGAGAGACATAGAGAGATTATGACATGAAACTCACAAAGGGCAAAGCTGATTATCATTATTCCAGAAATTCCAAGTCCAGTAAAGAACCTCATGACAACAAACATGGTTAAATTATATGAGAAAGCACTTGCAAATCCAAAGAGGGTGGTTGTCACATAGGACACCAGAAGTGCTCTTTTCCTGCCAAACCTGGAAGACAAATGATTAACATCCTGGTTTATCACACTGCTAATCAAATACAATAGCTGATACAGTGTTTAGAAGTAGTTATGGCAACATTTGTTTTGATAAATATGCAACTATTTCTGATTTTGTTATGCACAAGACAACTTTTGGACTACGTACAGGTGTTGTTAGTAAACTGTACCAATGGTAAAGTGGGCATCTGAGAACAGGTGAAATTACATCACAACACAGAGGCAAATGAAAATTTGAACTATATTAACAATTATACTGAATCAAACATCTTTTGTTTTAAAACCTGCTCTAACAAAGCAGTGTAATGTAACCACCCAGATGGTGAAACGGGTCTACTCTGAAAGCCTGAATACCTGTCGCTAAGATAACCAGACACTGCTGCTCCAAGCATGACCCCCATGAAGAAGATAGTGGCCATGGCTCTGTTCAGTCTTCTCTTATCACAAACCAGATCCCACTATGGAGGAAACACAGAGACAATAATGTGAGAATGAAGTGGATAATCTGGGTATTAGTCTAATGCTTTGCAAATGGACAGAAACCTCACCTCTGTGGCTAGAGTCGACTTGAATGTTGTGTCATCGTACACCCATCCATTCTGGCACGGCACTGTAGTGATTTCAGTCATGTTGGAGGAGTTGAGCAGCAGATGATACTGAGGGTCTGCAAACATCCGACAGGAGTTTGGAGTTCCATCCTCTTGGATTGGAATACTAACAACAAGCCTCTCTGCCTGAGATAAATTCCTAAAAAAATCTCCATCATTCAGAGAGCTGATGTCACAGTGGTGAGAGGGAATAGCCGCGATGAAATTATTCAGCAGAAAGTGAAATGGCAAAGTCATTCGAGAAATTATCAACAAGATGATCATCCTGACCTGGAATCTCCCAAAGCCATTTACCTCTGCCAGCACATTCTCAAACTTCATTTTCAAAAACAAATTATGCAGCACTTCTAGTCTTAACAGAAGCTCAGAGAATCATAGGAAATATCACTCACAACACAAGAGCCGCCAGCCTTTTGCATCGTGTTAAATGCTGCTGGTTAATGGTTAGCTGTGAGAAAGTGTGAATATAAAATAGATAAAACAAAGTTAGACTTCACTCAAATGTAGCCTAGAAAAATACTGGCAAGTACAATATTCTTAAAAGTAAATGATTTGCAGTACTGTGAAATATCAAAAAACAGGCTAGGTCTTTGTCCCTATGTGTAACAATACTCCAAAACAAGTCAGTTTAACACAGATTTGATGAACTAGTTGATGAATTATCATAAAACATTCTGAATTCCCAGTGAATTGGTTGTTTTTATTATAACTTTAATAATTTATTTAATCTTTTTTTTTCAGGTTTATTTACAGTGTTAAATATTATAGCAGGATTTTCCAATTGCATCACAGGATGTCACTGTCTCACTGT